ACCCAGACTGGCCTTGAGTTGAAAGTGATCCTCCTGCCTCAGCCTCCTGAGTACCAGGATTAAGGCGTGTACTACTATGCCCAGCTGAATTTTAGGAGTGTTAAAAAGTATTTCTGGTGAGAAGTCCTTTGTTATTTTTATGGTGATTGTATTCACATGTAACTCACTTTGGGTAATATCCAAAGCCCTATTTTTAACCATTCTCCTGCCTCTCAAGAATTATTATAAAAAATTATTATTATTATATATTATTGTTCTTATTTATAGATGATAAATCTGAGTTTCAGAAAGGTTAAGTAAGCCAGGCTCAGTAGCACATGCCTACAATCCCAACACTCAGGAGGCTGAGGCAGGAGGGTCACTGTGAGTTTGAGCTTGAGACTATCTCGTTAAGTGAAATCAATCGGGCACACACTTTCCTAGGACCGCATCTTAAAAAAAAAAAAAAAAAAAAAAAAACAAGAAAAACAAAGAAGGTTAAGTAACTTACTTAAAGTCACCCAGCTAGAAAATGATTAAGATTCAAACTCTTTAACAAGCCTAATTCTAAAACCCATATTCCACTTCACCTATACTACTGAGCCCAGTTTTTTTGTGTGTCTTGGGGTATCTAGGCAGGTGGATGAGCTGCAGCAACCTCTGGAGCTTAAGCAGGAGCCAGAACTGGAGTCCTTAGAGCTGGAGCAAAGGCTGGTGCCACAGCTGGAGCTGGGGATAGGCCTGGAGTTAGAGCCGCTGTTGGAGACAGGGCTGAATCTGGGCTCAGCGCTGCAGCCGGGGCTGGACCCGCGGCCTGCGCTGGAGCCCGCTGTACTCATCGCGCCGCAGCCGGGGCTGGACCCGGATCTGCCTCAGGACCTGCAGCACTTGAGCACGACAGACATGGAAAGTAAGTGTGAGACGGGGCGGGAGCGCGGACTCCCGCCCTCGGCTCCCTGTCCTTCCTCTTCTCTCCCGCCTCTCCCTGCTGGGTGGGGCCTCCCAGGGAGAGCAGGCCCTGACTTCTCTCTCCCGCTTCCCTAGTCTTCAGGAACAGTGTGAATATTGAAGATATCATGCCGAACGGGGACCCGCTGTTGGCTGGCCAGGGCATCCTGGATGAGCCCTACGTCTCCTGCCCCAGCCATTTCTGCACGGACGGACCCTTGAATCCTGACTGCTAGGAGTCAAGCTACATTTCCTCTGTTCTTTGTGTCGTTTGTCCTTCCTGTGCCCCCCCCCCCATTGCTCTCCAAGGATAAGAAATCAGGCGTTCTAACCTGGAGTTTGGGGAGAGGTGATAGCATTAACTTGGGTGTGAAGGGGGCACCAATGAATCAGAACATGTGCTGGCCACAGTTCTAAAAGGATCTGGGAGGCTGGGCATGGTGGTGCATGCCTGTAATCCCAGCACTCAGGAGGCTGAGGCAGGAGGATCGTTGCAAGTTCAAGACCAGCCTGGGCTACAAAGTGAGCTCAAGGCCAGTCTGAACTCCATAGCGAGACCCTGTCTCAACAAGACCAAAAAAAAAAAACTGTTGCTAAAAGGATCTGGAAGGCTGCCTG